TTGTGTATATCCTCTGTTAAATTTATTCACTCATCCAGTTTTTTTTTTACACAATAAAAACAAATCAATCACTACTGGAGTCAAACGTTACTTATTGTTGAGGCTGCCATTATTAAAGAAAGGATAATCGATGGCCCTGCAACTCTTGACAGAGGAACATGACAAACTTTTCAGTGTGAACCGGCAGCAGCACACACCCAACATGAAGCACTTACATGCCGGATGTGATGCCGCCCCTTTTATTGACAAATGCTCAGATCAATTTACAATCACAGGTGTGAGAGCACAGCTTATCAATAACAAAACTTAACACCCTCACTTGCTCTTAAACAGTGATTCTCAATAACACATTAATATTCAAATTACAGTGTACATTTCATAAAATCAGTTCAAATTCCAAACATCTGTTTTTTTTTTATCTATCCAGCTTAAACTTTGTTACAGATTTTGTAAAAAACATCTGCAAACATGTTTGTTGTTGGACAATACTCAATACATATTTTTCCATCATTTAGCACAGACCTAATAAAATGATACTTARTGTCAATGTGTTTACATCTCTGACGACATGTTGGATTTTTAGACAAAGTGATTGCACCTTGGTTATCTCCAAAGATTTTACAGGTACATAACAGTCATCACTTAACCCTTTCATCAGTTGTAAAAGATATAAACTCTCTTGTGCTGCTAGAGCTATATACTCTGCCTCACACGTTGACAAAGCAACAGTTTGTTGTTTCTTGGTTTTCCAAGAAATAAAGGAGTCGTTTGTGTTCAGACTAAAACAGTAACCTGTTGTGCTGCGTCTGTCTGTCTGATCTGAAGCCCAATCTGCATCACTGTAGGCCAGGGGTCACCAGTAGGCGGACCTGGGTCTGGATCCAGACCGGAATGCCGCCTCATGTGGACCCGTACCCAATGCCAAAACAGAGATCACCATTTAAAACTTAAATGAGCGCATGTAATGCTGCGTTCAGATCTAATGAGATTTGAGTGTTAGGGGCATCTGGTTTACATTCAAAGTCTATGGTGGGGCATTGAGAAGTGTTGCTGAGCGTTTTGAAGTGTTGGATGCACGTATAACTCATCCAAAGAGGCAGACACTTGAGGGACAATCTGAAATTTAGCAGTTAGAAATGGAGTGTCAGCCACATCTAGCCATGTGTGATGTAGTGGCGCATTTTCCGACAGGATAATCTCCTGAATGATGCCCACTAAACTAAGACAGATGGACAGGAGCTCTCCAGCTGAAATCAAGCACCTGTAGTTGATGTCCTGGCAGAAGATATGGGCAGCGATGGGGGTCAGCAACCCAGTCAAACTGTGCTCAGTCCAGAAAAAAAACGCTGAATGCAACACTCATCATCTCCTGGAGTGGTGAAACTCACCAAACTCAGAACTCCTCTGAATTATCTGGTGAATCCAAGGTGCCCAACGAACGTCCTCTGGCTCTCAGTAAATAAAGCCATGCCACTCTCTCAGTTTCATCTGTCATTGTACAGAGACTGGCAAAGAAGGCTCCTCTCAACGTGCATCTTCATGTGCGAATAGAGCGATTTTGACGAGCGTCTGACCTCAAAGTGCACAAGTGTCCAACTTGAGTCATTGACACATTTTTGACACA